AAACAGCACAACTGTCGACGGCGGTTGTTGTGCCGGTTGTGGCCCACTCCCCACAGTGGCCTCAGCCTCAGCAGCTCGACCGCCAAAGCATACCAACGAAAAGAGCAGCAGCGCCGCGGAAGAAAACAGATGCCGGGGCATGTTGGGCCTCCCTCTCCCCCTTCCCTCCTTGCGGTGAATCTGCCCGGGCCGCAACGAATGTGTATTCGCGTGTGCGGTGTGTGCGTGTGTCCTGACAGCAGCGGCGGCACTTCAGTGTGTATGTGTGTTGTGTTGCTGGCGGTAACTGCAGGGCCTCAAAGCGCAGAGTAGCGGCTGGTCTCTTTACTTCGGCGTGCGTGTGTGTGTGTGCGAAGATAAGTGTGAAGAGAAGGAGGAAACAACGACGACGGCGGCGATGGGTTCGGGCGCGGCAGTGGGGGGCAGCGTAGGCCACGCATGCGGGGGGCGATGGAGGCGGCAGTCCGGCGCCCGCACGAGAAGCCCACAGCGACGGTTGAGCAGCCGGGAGCCGCCGCCGCCCCGCGAAGGTGCGGGTGACGGTGTCCGCGGGGAAGCCGCGCGTCTTCTTCTGCGGGGCGGCGGCCGCGAGCCAACGACGGCAGCCCGGCCGCAGCGGAGTTCGCGGCGAAGGCGGGCAACGCAACAAACAAACGCGCAGAGCAAAACAAACACGTGCCCCGAGCGGCCCGCATGCATCCGCCGCCGAGCGCCGCAACAAATCAGCAGGGCCCGGGCCCGGGCTGCCGCAGCCGCCACAGTCCCCGCAGTCGGCCCAACAGTCAACCCGTCAGCGCGCCGAGCCGCACGAGTTCGCTCCGCGGCAACGCGCGGCAGAGCAGCAGCGTTTGGGACTCCGCATTTTACCCCCCGGCGCCGCCGCAGGCACCCAAACAAACACGCAGGAGGCGACAAGCCCCTCCCCGCGCGGCTGGGGCAACGCAAAACATCCACAAGGCGAGCGCAGCCACATAAAACAGAGGCCCCCGCCCGCTCCCACACCACGCCACTGCAGTCGCTAAAAAGGCGAGCACGCCGGGGAGCACGGCACGCCCGCAGCAGACGGCACCCAAATACACGCACAAAAACACACAGAGAGAAAAGGGAAAAAGAGAGGCGCATCGCCAGCCACGCCCGCACGCAGCGGAGGAGGCAGGAGGGAAGCAGCACGGCAGCCACACCGGGCACGGCGCCGCGGCTCAGCCCGCAGTGGGTCGCACCATCGCCGTGCAAAACCAAAAAAAAAAGATGGCTTGCGGAAGAGAAAAAACAATTAAAACGAAAAAAGATGCAGGCAAACGCGGCTGACCACGCACGCCAAAACCGCGCCGCGTGTATTTTTGCCTCCACACACAAAAAAAAAGATGTGTGTTTGCTCCACCCCAATACGTCCCCTCATTGTCTACGCAGCGCCCACTTTTCATTGGCGGCACCTCAGCGTGCCGTCGCCCCGCCCACCCGCCGCTTCCTCTGCGTAGTGCGCGAAGAACCGCCACTCCTGTGCGTCTCGGGGCGGGAGCAGCCGACAGCCGCGAGTGGCGCCCGCCCCTCCGTGGGGANAGCGGGCAAAGCAAAGCAAAAA